GATCTGTATAAGTGGTAAGCATATTGAGTGCCGAACGTTGCTATTCTTAAAATTTGGATTTCTTCTTGTCTTGCTGTTCTTTTTTAGAGAAAGTAAGGAAGAAACAAACTTACGGATGGGTAACGCTGCTTACATAAGTAGGGCCAAACCTGCCCAAAATGTCTCTGCTGGTACAGTAATTGGAAGCAGTTATGCTAGTGAGTCTCCTTCCAAATGACAATACCAGGAAGAACTGTATTTTTACTGGAGTTCAAAACTAGTAACAATCTCAGTGCACCTGTAGGTACAGAGTACTTCGCCTAGTGTAAGCTGTTAGGAAATCTGTAGATGTTAAGAGTGTTTTGAGGTTTTGGGTTTGTTTCAGTTGTTTTGTCTGCATAAGCTGTTGTGATTACTGAGGAGTGGAGGAGCGTTTCCTAACTTGAAGACATTAGCAAAACCTTTGCTAAATTGAGACAACGATAGTGTCTCTCAAGTCCTGAATTTTGTCTGTAGCATCTGAAGCGAGGGATGCCGTGTTTCCCAAAGGGCACTGGGAAGCATGCTGCAAAGCTGTTTTAGCGTGTCCTTAACAGTAATCTTTTGGTTTCTTGGCTGGCAGGTGGACTCAACGCAGATTTGAAAGCTGCCTACAACTCTTTTATGAAGTCATGTGAGAAAGGTGGGAAGAAGTCAGTAAATGCGTGTCATAACGTTGGGCTTTTGGCCCATGATGGGAGAGTGAACGATGACAAACCTGACCCCGTTGTCGCTAGAGACTATTACACAAAAGCCTGTGATGGCAATTTTGCTCCTAGCTGCTTCAACCTCAGTGTGATATACCTCCAAGGAGCACCTGGGGTCCCTAAGGACATGAGCCGTGCTTTGAAGTACTCGCTGAAAGGGTGTGAGCTGGGTCACGTGTGGGCTTGTGCCAATGCCAGTCGAATGTACAAACTGGGAGACGGCATTGAGAAGAATGATGCTAAGGCAGAGGATTTGAAAAACAGGGCAAAACAGTTGCATAATGAACAGAAAGAAGCTGCAAGTTCTTTAACATTTGGGGAGTAAAACTGTCAGTTGCAGTTACTAAGACTGCAGTTTTACGTGGCAAGAGAACTTGTTACTTAAATCGTGAGCATACGGTTCTCAGTCATAATAAAAAATCTATCCTGTATTTGCATATGCAAATAAACACATTTTTGTGGATGCAACAAACATGACCAACTCTGCTGTGCCTTTCTACATTTTTAAATACAAAAGTTCTTAGGTGTATTGCTTAGATCCCTCCTCCTCTTTAAGGAAGACAAAATCGTCTGGCTGTTTGGAAATTTGTCCCTGTGGTTTCAAGTATGAAATTAGTCCATAACATGGTTTGTTTGTTTTTTTTTTCTTCTTCACTGCAAATATTTATAGCTAAAAACCTGTAATTCTGCACTAGGTGTTGTGTAAAGGTTTCTGATCTTCAGAGACTGTCATCAATCCCATGTATTTTTTGAGCTAACCTCTTGCTGGAACAAGCGTGGATTTTGATCTGTTTTCACATGACGTTTAAGTCTCACCACTTCCACTTTAAAACCATGCTTATTTTGCTCTCTTTGGCCACAGAAATATTGTCCTTTGCTTGCACTGTCAACTTTGTTAACCGTGAGAAGTTTGTCCAGGCTGCGTGTTGATCGTGGACAGTGCCTCTTGCTGTGTGACCTTCCCAGGTTTATGGGGACATGCTGCTTTAGGCCCTGAAAGTGTGAAGCTTTTCCTTGGTCAGCTTAAATCTAGAAATATTTTAGTCACATTCAGATGATGCCAAGCCCAAAACAGTAAGGAGCCTGTATGGCAGTATGTACGTAGAGACAAGTCTGCCTATAGATCTTGCAAATGAAACAGGCAGGAGAGAAAGGAGCTTAATTAATTAGCTCTGCTGGACAGATGAGCTACAGGGGCAGAGCTCAAGAGAACTGCCCCATATTGCAGAGGAAATAAGTGAAAGAGCTCGGAATTGGCCTAGATCTGCTGAGTTACAGGTAAGTATGCAGGAGATTCCCTTTCGGACAAGGCATGCACATAGGTTTTAAATACCTTTAGCCTGAACGTTGGTTTTAGTGTCTTGCCAACTGGTTCGTCACTGCGTATTTGACTGCCACATGAGCCTGAGTGCTTTAGGGTTGTTCTCCAACATGTGGTGGTCAATTACACATAAATTGTTTCACTTCCCTGCCAGCTTCTGAAACATTATGTTCCATTTTTTATAATACGGATTTAGGGAACAAGGTGCTAACCGATCAGATTTTGGGCTCAAATCCATAGTTTATAGATATGCAAACTGTAGCTAAACCTACATAACTGAAACAGCAGCGTAAAGAAGCAGGGCAGTATATGTAAATGCATTCATGCACCAATGTGATCTTTTGTAAGTTTGGTGTGTATAAATATGTGCAAAGCTTGTGATATGTGTGTGTATGTTTTGCTGTCAATTTAGTGCTGATTTAGAACATGAACTCTCTGGCTGTGGTCTGAATAAAGAGACAAACTTACTATTGAAGTAAATAAAGTGGGAGAAAAGACAACAGTCATTTGGCCACTTCTACAATTGAAAGCAGAATTGTTAGAATCTCACTGCATGCGGTCTCAGGCAGGGCATGTGTGAATCAAAGCAGTTCTTCCAACTTAACTGCCCTTTTAACAGACTTCTTGGAAGGGATATGCTTACTGCGGGAATAAAACCCCAGCAGTATAGTGTAGTGATGAAGTAGATACACTGTAACAACAGATGGCAGTACGTGAAAAACATTCTTGCATACAGCGGGTCTTGTTTTCAGCAGACTGAGAAAAAAACAGCAGTGGTGACAAAAGTGAGATTAATTTTTCTGTTAACACAGTTAATATTTTATGGCACTTCAAGAAAGTAAAGCTCTTTCAGAGGAACACACTTGTCCCGATTCTTTGCTAGGTACTATTCTGGGCATTTGTTTCACTTGGGAAAGGTAAGTAAATGCTACCTCTGCAGAGTGTAACAGTCTAGTAATAGAACAGTTTGGAAGCCTTGTGGACAGAGTAAGCGATTACGGGTGGCTCAGGACGTTGGTGAATTGAGTGACAGTTTAAGCCTTGATCGTTTTTCCGAGTTTGTAATGGTCACTGCCTCCGAGTGGCTCGTTCAGATGCTCAGTCCAAGCAAACCTGCTGCATTAGAGTGGGCTTTCTTCCACCAGGACTGATGGTTGTCAGTGATCCCCTGGGCAACTTCCAGTCAACAGAGCAAACGGGCACCTGGGAGCATCCTCAATAAAAGCGACACACTGCAGATAATTAAAGCCACATATAAAGTGTGTGTTGTGGGGAGTTTTTTTCATAGCACTTGAGAACTCAGCAACTTGCAGAGTTTAAATATTATAAAATGCAAAGCTGTCAAGTGTGTTAGTACAGGTATGTTTATGAAGCGTCATCCAGTTTTGTACCACTGGTCGGAAAGGGAAACCCAAATTAAGGAAGGCTCTTTTTGTGAACGCTAAACCACCATCACCATCAAAACCAGTTTAAAGTGTTTCTAGACTGTCTCTGAACAGTTTGCTGCCTGTTCCAGACACACCTATATCTTTTTTACACAGATATCGATGATGCCGTAACATGCATTAGATGGGTAAAGCCCTCTCCTATTTGACTGTTTTCCCTCCAAAGTTACAAAGCATGAAAAAAATATAAAAATAGATCAGCCAGATTCATTTCAGCGTGTTATAAATTATATGTGGTTAATGCAGTCTATAGCAGAGGCTGTAGACTTTTCTAATAGCAGTCTACTCTCAACCTACAGATTACGTTCAGGAGACTTAATCAAAATCTGTTCAGAGGTGAAAGTTGTGCTACAAATCTTGGTTTATAAACATCTTGCTCTAATATTATGAGGGTATTAGCAAAAGGCTGGTATCTTCCTGCTCTTTGTTTTTACCTGATGTTACAAAGGCTAAATTTTATGTCCTCTTGGGAAGAAAATTGTTCCTCCAAAGCCTCTGAGGTCATAAAGAAAGAGTGATAGATACGCGATCATAATAGCATACTTGGAAATATGGAAGACCTGTTGATCTCTTCAGGATAAGTGGCTTGTCCAAGAAATAAAGGAGTTTATCTCCGCTTCACAGCTCTTAAACCATTGCCCGCTTTCTCTTTCATTTGTTTGTATTGATCTAAGCATACAGCTGACCTCCTTTAATAAAGCAGCAATACCCTTCGGAATGAATGGTGACCAGCTCTAATAATTAAATAGACTTATAATACATGGCTTTAAAAGATGGAAACATTCTCTGCAGGATGCTTCCTGCAGCTGTGAACAGATCGGCAGTGGAGCGCTGGTTTTGCACCGAGATGTACAAAACACTGACGCCACATCATGTTTTGTCGTTAAGTGCCATTTGGATTAATTCTGGACAAAAGATGCTGTCGGGTAAAGAAGCCGCATGATGTCGTAGAAACAGAAAAACACCCTTGTTCTGGTAGTTCTGTTCCTGTGTTGTATTTTAATAAAAGCAGTTTTGCAGCTTGCTCACCTTTTATTCAGCCGCCAGTAACAACTTCTCTCTGCAATGTATGCGTTTGTGGTGGTGCAACCCCCCTGCTCCCCGGGCCACTCCGTGCTATTCCCACTTTTCTGGGCCTCATGCCAACCTAGGATGAGTTGGGTGTGGATTTCAAAAGGCAGCGAACCAGAGCATTAGGGCACCTCCTTAATGTGCCAGGCTCCTGCTTCTTCTACCACTTGACCTGGTACATCTGTACCTGGGTTGCAGCCAGAAAGGGTGATACCAGAAACCCCCAGATCAGCAAGTCTGGGGCCTGTGCAACTGGTGGAAAATACCAGAATATTTCACCATCCAAGTTGGGCCAAAATGGAAAAGTACCTGACACAAGTCAATTATCTCAGACCCTATAAACAGTGATTCTAAGCGAGACCCTTTGAGCTCTCCTGGATAGCAGCGGGCTGTGACCAGCATCTCCCCTGAGCTGGGATGCCTCTCAAGGACCAGCTGCTCAGACCACCTGCCAACAAAGCTGACAAAAGGGCGAGGCGAGTCATCCTCCTCAAGCCTCAGTTACCGCCAGTTGAGGAACAACGATGCATTGTGCATATTAAACTCGAGAGGGAAATTATAACCTATAGGTTAGCCTCTTCCATCCACCTCTCTGCCTATCTATGTGTTTGAATATATATGTTTTCCTTCACAAGTGTGGGTGTCTATATTTCACTGGATCCAAATATTTCTGTCTGCACGCTGTATGTTTTATACATATGTATATATATATTTTTTGACTTAGGATATCTTGTAGTAAATGAATGTAGAGTGAATCTTGTTGTTTTCAAATCTGTAATTAAGTCACTGTTTTAATTATCACATATCCTACTGAGTCATCTTGTTAATCTTTCAAATAGTTAATCATTAAGTGCTCCTAAAATTTAACCTTTGATTTACCTCATACCATTAATAAATCTTGAATTGCTGCTAAATCATAACCCTGTTGAAACATTTCATCTGCGACAGTGTTAGGGTAGTTCTTGGAGCTGTACACCCAGATGGATGGTCTGGGAGACTTGGTATGTGTAATTGCTACACCAAGAAAGCACAAAAATAATACTGTGTTCCTCGCTGCAGTACAAACTTTTTGTTCAGTGTGGAAAGAAAGTCACTCTTTCAGCAATTTTCACTTCATCATGTGAGACAGAGGAACTGTCCCAGGTAGCTCTTCTCCTTTCATAGATGGAGAAGGAAGAATTCCTCCTTCCCTTGCGCTTCCCACCATCTCATCCACTTGGGCTTTTTCAGGGTGAAGCAAGAAGGCAGAGGTAGGAAAAGAAGTCATGGCACAGCAAGAAACAATAGAAAATAAGCAATATATCCAGTTGTGTTATTATTGCAATAATTTGTGCTGGGGTAACACTGAGGAGTTCAATTCAGATGCTGGTATTAGGCCATTTGTGTGCACCCGTAATCCAGAGACCCACAATCTAAGATTCAGGATTGTACAAAGTCCCTAGTACATATTTCTGCATCAAACATTAGTATCCTGCTCTGATTTTCCAGATACTGTATCAACAATATGGCCCAGAATCTGCAAAAAACAGATTTCTCCAAGACTCTTAAGACTTTAATGATCAATTCTGGGCCAGATTTTCAATGTCTAATCTCATATGCCATATCTGTAGCCTCCCAGTGCTTTCCCTTTTCAGTATCCACACTTCAAGCAAACACAATAACCACA